AATCTGCCATGGGCCCCCGTACCGCCTCCTCATGCTGCTGCAGGTCCAGTGTTCTCATGGGTCCCTGTACGGCCTGCCCATTGCTGCTGTCTCATCGCCACACTCTGCCATGTGCCACTTTCAGGTCTCCTCACACTGCTGGTGTGTTCTTTTTTGTCATAGGGTGCTGGCAGATTACGGGCCTCCCATAGCTGCTGCCAGGCCCCTAATCTGCCATGGGCCCCCTGTACCGCCTCCTCATGCTGCTGCCAGGTCCAGAGTGTCTCATGGGTCCCTGTACGGCCTCCCATTGCTGCTGTCTCCATCGCCACACTCTGCCATGTGCCACTTTCAGGTCCACACTGCTGGTGTGTTCCATTTTTTGTCATAGGGTGCTGGCAGATTACGGGCCTCCCATAGCTGCTGCCAGGCCCCTAATCTGCCATGGGCCCTGTACCGCCTCCTCATGCTGCTGCCAGGTCCAGAGTCTCTCATGGGTCCCTGTACGGCCTCCCATTGCTGCTGTCTCCATCGCCACACTCTGTGCCATGTGCCACTTTCAGGTCTCCTCACACTGCTGGTGTGTTCCATTTTTTGTCATAGGGTGCTGGCAGATTACGGGCCTCCCATAGCTGCTGCCAGGCCCCTAATCTGCCATGGGCCCCTATACCGCTCCTCATGCTGCTGCAGGTCCAGAGTCTCTCATGGGTCCCTGTACGGCCTCCCATTGCTGCTGTCTCCATCGCCACACTCTGCCATGTGCCACTTTCAGGTCTCCTCACACTGCTGGTGTGTTCCATTTTTTGTCATTGGGTGCTGGCAGATTACGGGCCTCCCATAGCTGCTGCCAGGCCCCTAATCTGCCATGGGCCCCTGTACCGCCTCCTCATGCTGCTGCCAGGTCCAGAGTCTCTCATGGGTCCCTGTACGGCCTCCCATTGCTGCTGTCTCCATCGCCACACTCTGCCATGTGCCACTTTCAGGTCCTCCTCACACTGCTGGTGTGTTCCATTTTTTGTCATAGGGTGCTGGCAGATTACGGGCCTCCCATTGCTGCTGCCAGGCCCCTAATCTGCCATGGGCCCCTGTACCGCCTCCTCATGCTGCTGCCAGGTCCAGAGTCTCTCATGGGTCCCTGTACGGCCTCCCATTGCTGCTGTCTGCCATCGCCACACTCATGCCATGTGCCACTTTCAGGTCTCCTCACACTGCTGGTGTGTTCATTTTTTGTCATAGGGTGCTGGCAGATTACGGGCCTCCCATGCTGCTGCCAGGCCCTAATCTGCCATGGGCCCCTGTACCGCCTCCTCATGCTGCTGCCAGGTCCAGAGTCTCTCATGGGTCCCTGTACGGCCTCCCATTGCTGCTGTCTCCATCGCCACACTCTGCCATGTGCCACTTTCAGGTCTCTCTCACACTGCTGGTGTGTTCCATTTTTTGTCATAGGGTGCTGGCAGATTACGGGCCTCCCATTGCTGCTGCCAGGCCCCCTAATCTGCCATGGGCCCCTGTACCGCCTCCTCATGCTGCTGCCAGGTCCACAGTGTCTCATGGGTCCCTGTACGGCCTCCCATTGCTGCTGCCTCCAGGGTCGCCACAGTGCCTCTGGAGCTGCTGCCATGGCCACGGAGTCACCAGCTCCACTGCCAGGTACCAGTCCCACGGCCAGTAGCTGCGGTGTGTGTTCCATTTTTTGTCATCAGGGTGTGAGGAGTACGGGGCAGGTCTCCTCATTGCTGGCTGTGTGGCATTTTTTTGTCAAGGGCCGAGGAAGTACCGCCTCCATATGCTGCTGCCAGGCCAGAAAGTCAAGCTCTGGCCAGGGGGCCCCCTGTACGGCCTCCCATGCGTGCTGTCTCCATCGTCCACACTCTGCCATGTGCCGTTTAGGTTAACCAGGTTCTGCCTGCCCCTGCCAGGGTTCCATTTTTTGTCATAGGGTGCTGGCAGATTACGGGCCTCCCATTGCTGCTGCCAGGCCTTAATCTGCCATGGGCCCCTGTACCGCCTCCTCATGCTGCTGCCAGGTCCACAGTGTCTCATGGGTCCCTGTACGGCCTCCCATTGCTGCTGTCTCCATCGCCACACTCTGCCATGTGCCACTTTCAGGTCTCCTCACACTGCTGGTGTGTTCCATTTTTTGTCATAGGGTGCTGGCAGATTACGGGCCTCCCATTGCTGCTGCCAGGCCCCTAATCTGCCATGGGCCCCTGTACCGCCTCCTCATGCTGCTGCCAGGTCCAGAGTCTCTCATGGGTCCCTGTACGGCCTCCCATTGCTGCTGTCTCCATCGCCACACTCTGCCATGTGCCACTTTCAGGTCTCCTCACACTGCTGGTGTGTTCCATTTTTTGTCATAGGGTGCTGGCAGATTACGGGCCTACCATAGCTGCTGCCAGGCCCCTAATCTGCCATGGGCCCCTGTACCGCCTCCTCATGCTGCTGCCAGGTCCAGAGTGTCTCATGGGTCCTGTACTGCCTCCCATTGCTGCTGTCTCCATCGCCACATCTCATGCCATGTGCCACTTTCAGGTCTCCATGTCTCACACTGCTGGTGTGTTCCATTTTTTGTCATAGGGTGCTGGCAGATTACGGGCCTCCCATTGCTGCTGCCAGGCCCTAATCTGCCATGGGCCCCTGTACCGCCTCCTCATGCTGCTGCCAGGTCCAGTGTCTCTCATGGGTCCCTGTACGGCCTCCCATTGCTGCTGTCTCCATCGCCACACTCTGCCATGTGCCACTTTCAGGTCTCCTCACACTGCTGGTGTGTGTTCCATTTTTTGTCATAGGGTGCTGGCAGATTACGGGCCTCCCATTGCTGCTGCCAGGCCCGTAATCTGCCATGGGCCCCTGTACCGCCTCCTCATGCTGCTGCCAGGTCCAGAGTCTTCATGGGTCCCTGTACGGCCTCCCATTGCTGCTGTCTCCATCGCCACACTCTGCCATGTGCCACTTTCAGGTCTCCTCACACTGCTGGTGTGTTCCATTTTTTGTCATAGGGTGCTGGCAGATTACGGGCCTCCCATTGCTGCTGCCAGGCCCCTAATCTGCCATGGGCCCCTGTACCGCCTCCTCATGCTGCTGCCAAGGTCCCAGAGTCTCTCATGGGTCCCTGTACGGCCTCCCATTGCTGCTGTCTCCATCGCCACACTCTGCCATGTGCCACTTTCAGGTCTCCTCACACTGCTGGTGTGTTCCATTTTTTGTCATAGGGTGCTGGCAGATTACGGGCCTCCCATAGCTGCTGCCAGGCTAATCTGCCATGGGCCCCTGTACCGCCCCTCATGCTGCTGCTGCCAGGTCCACAGTGTCTCATGGGGTCCCAAATAAGTACGGCCTCCCATTGCTGCTGTCTCCATCGCCACACTCTGCCATGTGCCACTTTCAGGTCTCCTCACACACTGCTGGGGTGTTCCATTTTTTGTCATAGGGTGCTGGCAGATTATGATGGGCCTCCCATTGCTGCTTGCTCCATTCAGGCCCGTAATCTGCCATGGGCCCCAGTACCGCACTCCTCATGTGCTGCCAGGTACCCCTTAGCTGCTGCCAGTCTCTCATGGGTCCCTGTACGGCCTCCCATTGCTGCTGTCTCCATCGCCACACTCTGCCATGTGCCACTTTTCAGGTCTCCTCAACACCTGCTGGTGTGTTCCATTTTTTGTCATAGGGTGCTGGCAGATTACGGGCCTCCATAGCTGCTGCCAGGCCCCTAATCTGCCATGGGCCCCTGTACCGCCTGCCATGCTGCTGCCAGGTGGCTGCCAGCGTCTCTCATGGGTCCCTGTACGGCTCCCATTGCTGCTGTCTCGCCATCGCCACACTCTGCCATGTGCCACTTTTCAGGTCTCCTCACACGTGGTGCTGCTGGTGTGTGTTCCATTTTTTGTCATAGGGTGCTGGCAGATTACGGGCCTCCCATAGCTGCTGCCAGGCCCCTAATCTGCCATGGGCCCTCAGCACCCTCTACCGCCTCCTCATGCTGCTGCCAGGTCCACAGTGTCTCATGCCATGTGCCATTTTAGGTCTCCTCACACTGCTGGTGTGTTCATTTTTTGTTATAGGGTGTGCTGGCAGATTTACGGGCCTCATCATTGCTGCTGCCAGGCCCTAATCTGCCATGGGACCCTGTACCGCCTCCTCATGCTGCTGCCAGGTACCCAGAGTCTCTCATGGGTCCCTGTACGGCCTCCCATTGCTGCTGTCTCCATCGCCACACTCTGCCATGTGCCACTTTCATATCTCCTCACACTGCTGGTGTGTTCCATTTTTTGTCATAGGGTGCTGGCAGATTACGGGGCCTCCCATTGCTGCTGCCAGGCCGGTAATCTGCCATGGGCCCCTGTACCGCCTCTTCATGCTGCTGCAGGTCCAGAGTGTGTCATGGGTCCCTGTACGGCCTCCCATTGCTGCTGCCAGGAGGCAGCCAGGGTCGCAGTGCAGTGTCAGTGGAGGCAAACGGCCCACGGAGTAGAGCACCAGCTCACATGCAGCCTACCCCCACGGCCAGTAGTGGTGCCGGTGTGCACGGCAGGAGAAGTAGCAGTCAGCCTCCTGAGTGAGGAGTAGCGGGGGCCAAGTTTCCTACTCGGCGGTGTGTGTGGCAATTTTTCGTCAAGCCGCCTGAGGAAGTAAACGTAGCCCTAGGTATGTCGACTATGTGGCCAGAAAAGTCAAGCGGGGCCAGGGGGGCCCATGTTGGGACTACAGCGTTGCGTCAGCATATGCAGCGTCGCCATTCGGTGGACCTGGGAAACACCGTGATAAAGATTCGGGCGGTTCTGCCTGCCCCAGCCCAGGGTTCCATTTTGTCATAGGGTGCTGGCAGATTACGGGCCTCCCATTGCTGCTGCCAGGCCTTAAATCTGCCATGGGCCCCTGTACCGCCTCCTCATGCTGCTGCCAGGTCCACAGTGTCTCATGGGTCCCTGAACCGCCCTCCCATTGCTGCTGTTCCATCGCCACACTCTGCCATGTGCCACTTTCAGGTCTCCTCACACACTGCTCGTGTGTTCCATTTTTCGTCATAGGGTGCTGGCAGATTACGGGCCTCCCATTGCTGCTGCCAGGCCCGTAATCTGCCATGGGCCCCAGTACCGCCTCCTCATGCTGCTGCCAGGTCCACAGTCTCTCATGGGTCCCTGTACGGCCTCCCATTGCTGCTGTCTCTCCATCGCCACACTCTGCCATGTGCCACTTTCAGGTCTCCTCACACTGCTGGTGTGTTCCATTTTTTGTCATAGGGTGCTGGCAGATTACGGGCCTCCCATAGCTGCTGCCAGGCCCCTAATCTGCCATGGGCCCCTGTACCGCCTCCTCATGCTGCTGCCAGGTCCACAGTGTCTCATGGGTCCCTGTACGGCCTCCCATTGCTGCTGTCTCCATCGCCACACTCTGCCATGTGCCACTTTCAGGTCTCCTCACACACTGCTGGTGTGTTCCATTTTTTTCATAGGGTGCTGGCAGATTACGGGCCTCCCATTGCTGCTGCCAGGCCCATAATCTGCCACGGGCCCCAGTACCGCCTCCTCATGCTGCTGCCAGGTCCACAGTCTCTCATGGGTCCCTGTACGGCCTCCCATTGCTGCTGTCTCCATCGCCACACTCTGCCATGTGCCACTTTCAGGTCTCCTCACACTGCTGGTGTGTTCCATTTTTTGTCATAGGGTGCTGGCAGATTACGGGCCTCCCATAGCTGCTGCCAGGCCCCTTATCTGCCATGGGCCCCTGTACCGCCTCCTCATGCTGCTGCCAGGTCCAGAGTCTCTCATGGGTCCCTGTACGGCCCCTCCCATTGCTGCTGTCTCCTTCGCCACACTCTGCCATTTGCCACTTTCAGGTCTCCTCACACACTGCTGGTGTGTTCCATTTTTTGTCATAGGGTGCTGGCAGATTACGGGCCTCCCATTGCTGCTGCCAGGCCATAATCTGCCATGGGCCCCGTACCGACTCCTCATGCTGCTGCCAGGCCCATAATCTGTCATGGGCCCCTGTTGTCGCTTGTTGGCATATTCCGCTCGTTCAGATGCTCCTTTCCTGCTACTCCTCTTCACGGATTCCGTCAGCAGTCTTTCTTGGAATCCGTTTCCAAGAGACAACAGTTTGCGAGCACGCACCCGACGGTGCAGAAGCTGAACGTCCTCCTGTCCAAGTTGCTGCTGCCAGGCTCGTAATCTGTCATGCGCCCCTGTACCGCCTCCTCATGCTGCTGCCAGGTCCAGAGTGTGTCATGGGTCCCTGTACGGCCTCCCATTGCTGCTGCCAGGCCCGTAATCTGCCATGGGCCCCCGTACCAACTCCTCATGCTGCTGCCAGGCCCGTAATCTGTCATGGGCCCCTGTACCGCCTCCTCATGCTGCTGCCAGGTCCAGAGTGTGTCATGGGTCCCTGTACGGCCTCCCATTGCTGCTGTCTCCATCGCCACACTCTGCCATGTGCCACTTTCAGGTCTCCTCACACTGCTGGTGGTTTCCATTTTTGTCATAGGGTGCTGTATGGCCTCCCATTGCTGCTGCCTCCACCGCCACACTGTGGCTCCACACTCTGGTTTTGGCCCCGTGACTGCCCAAATGAGTGAAGTGTGCGGCGATTCTAAGATCGACGGCACTCATCTGCATGTCATACTGACTGTCAGTATTATTTCTCTTCCCCAGCAGACTCCAAGGGCATTTAAATTAAAGGTACAGTGTTCTGCACTAATATAAAGGCTCTCTGAAGCCTAGAAACACCCTTTTATAAGTTAAATTCGCAGGGAATATATTCGACTCGAATCGAAATTTTTCCACGAATTCGCCGAATCAGTAGAATCGAATTTTTGAATACTTCGCTCATCTCTACTGAAGACCTCAAGCCTGGAAGAAGCCAGGGATAAGATATTGGTGCTGCTAGGGAGCTAACTTTCGTAGGGAGGGGTAAACGAGTGTACTAAAGCTCTGCTTTAAAGTAGAACTATAGGCAAAACATTTTTTTTTCCATTTTGGATAGAGCAAGGGAGGGTTTTAACCCCTTTCAGATTTTTTTTTGCCATCTGTGTCCCATTGGGGAGGTTTACCTTCCCTTCCTGTCCTATAGTCAGGAAGTGAGAGAAAATCCCTGCAAATTAGGAGAAATCCTTGGGGACCCCAAGTCACCAGAACTAGTGTCCCCATTGGAAGATTTCCCTTCTATTACTGTTTGGGGACAACCCAAAATCTGGGATTTTCTTTTACTTTCACTTTCAATGATAATGGTAAATGAGACAAAATGAGAGGGTGAATCTCCTTAACCACTTGCCTACAGGGCACTTATACTTCTTGCCCAGGCCAATTTTCAGCTTTCGGGGCTGTTGCACTTTGAATGACAATTGTGCAGTCATGCAACACTGTACCCAAACTAAATTTTTATCATTTTTTTGAGACAAATAGAGCTTTCCTTTGGTAGTATATAAACACCACTGGGGTTTTTATTTTTTGCTAAACAAACTAAAAAAGACCAAATATTTTGAAAAAAAAAAAAAAAACTTTTCTTAGTTTCTGTTATAACGTTTTGTAAATAAGTAATTTTTCTCCTTCGCTGATGGGCACTGATAGGCTGCACTGATGGGCACTGATGAGGCTGCACTGATAGGTGGCACTGATGGGCACTGATGAGGCTGCACTGATAGGCGGCATTGATAGGCACTGTTATGCAGCACTGATGGACACTGATGAGGCTGCACTGATAGGCAGCACTGATGGGCACTGTTAAGCAGCACTGTTAGGCGGCTCTGATAGGCACTGATAGGTGGCACTGATGGGCACTGTTAGGCAGCACTGATAGGTAGCACTGATGCTCACTTATTCAACTGATGGGCACTGATTGCCAACATAGATGAGCACTGATTGACACTATTGGCCGTGCTGATGGGGCTACACTGATCACCAGGACACTGAGAATCAGTGCCCTGATGATCAGTGTAGATGTCCCCCTGCAAAATGCCGCTTACCGGCTCTCCTCTCCTCACGCGCTGTCAACGTGAGTAGAGAACTGTGATAACTGGCATTTCCTATTTACCCAGTGATCAGCTATGATTGGACATAGCTGGTCACATGGTAAAAGCAGCTGTGATTGGCCTGTCCCTTAGTCATGTGATCAGCTGTGTCCATAGCGATCACAGATCGCATGCAGTGTGCATGTCCCAGGAGGTGCGTGGGGGGTGTGTGGTTCTGGGAGGACGTCCATGGACACATTCCCTGAACTAGTTGACCACACTGTAGCCATCTTTTGGCTATAGTGCAGTCGGGAACTGGGGGAGCTGACCACAGTAAAAACTGACAAGCATTCTAATCACCCTCCACTCTATCCAGAACTTGCCTTTTGGTATACGTTAAGCTTGTAGAAGTAAATTACATTTGGCTGCTCATCCACCCATAAATAATCCCATCTATCTACAGAACATGAAATTCAAGTACACGTACATAAATAGCCATTTGTTGTCCATACAGTATAGTCATAGACACAACATAAGCTGACGTTATTTCCCTACTCCTGAAATATTACCACTTCCCACCCCAGTTTTCCACTACCCTATACATTCACGATACTGTAGAGAACATTATTATATATGCAATGATACCCACATAGAAAAAAAGAGAAGTGGCAAAAATACAAAATGCCAGCACACTCATAAGTCACAGTCATAAGATAAGTTTATTAGCTTCCTCAAATCAATAATATGGCATTATGAATTGTTTTAACCATAATATGTCACATTTAGACCTTCAATAGAGATGCTAAAGCCAAATAATTAAAGAGGTATTAAATCCAAACCCAAAAATATAATATTTTGCAGATTACCAATAGATGTGGTAACTGCATTGTTTTCTTTTTTTCAACTGGTGATATGGCCAGTAAAACACCTCCTGTATTAGAGTGCCCCCTTCTGGAGAAGCAGCACAGGGACACAGAACAATTCTAAAAACACACATAGGAGGGGAGAGGAGTGTTAGATGTACTAGCAGATGTAGATACACTGACAAATTGAAGCTAAACTTCAGCTCATATTGCAGTTACACAAGCAGCTACAGCAACAATTTGTTCCCCTTTTTGGGATAAAGGTTTTACGTGAATAAGTAAAAGCTGAACATTGTAAAGCAGCCCTGACTGTGGTAAATGGTTTGGTGCAACACTCTTAACTGATGCGTTTGCAGAACAGCTTGTTCTGTTGAAAAACAACACACTTATTGGCCAGATCACCAGGTGTAAATAAATGAAAGAGCTCAAAAAAAGAAAACACAGCCCACGCATCTCTGAATTGGTAAGCTGCATCATATTAAATTGTTGGAATACAATGTTCATGTATTTTTGTACAACTACATCATTATCCAACAGAGATGTTGTCAGGGATCCCGGCCGCTCAGCGTCGCGCGCATGCGCAGATCGCCGACTCTCTGGCCGGCGAATACAGAGATCGCGCGGCGGCGGCCGCGCATGCGCAGTAGCGATCGCGGCCGCGCCAATGGAAACTCAGGGCGCCCTATTTAAATCTGCCCTGTGCATTTCCAAAGTGCCGCAAGGTCTTGTTCCTGTTCCTGTGTTCCTGCTAGTACGTTTCCTTGTTGCCAAACTCTGCCTGTTCTGATTACGCTGACCCTCTCCTGCTCTGACCCCGGCTCGTTCCTGACCATCCCTCTGACCGACTCTCTGTACCACGCTGCCCGCTACCTGCTGAACCTGGCTTGTGACCCCGACCATTCTCCGCTTGCTCCCTCTGTACCACGCTGCCCGCACGATACCGACCCGGCTAGTCTGACCTCGCTCACTCCTAGCAGTCGTCCATCCATCCCGCTCGGATCGGGATCTGTCATCCCATCCATCCCGCTCGGATCAGGGTCTGTCATCCCCTTCACAGCAGACTCATCCCGGGCACATACCCTCAGCGGGACCCCTCTGCCACCGCCGGGGGTGCCCAGGGACGCGACCTGGTTCCAGTCTTGCACCAAGTCCATCCCCACCATCAGGGGCTCTGGTGAAAAGGCAGACTGGGACTTAGACTCCGCGTCCTGGGAAACCCCGTGCCGTGGACCACTAGAGATCCCGCTGGGCGGAGCCTGACAGTACCTTGCGGCCATGACTGAGTCTGGAAGGGGAACCTTCCCCCTGGACGATTTGTGCCAACACATTGCCACCCTCACAGAGGGGGTTAGGCTCCTCCAGGAGGGCTATACAGAATTAGGTGACCGTTTGCAGACCTTAGCCACCCCTACCGGGCAGGTTAAAGAGCGCCCTGGGGAAACACTAGTTCTGACATCTGCACCGGAGCCCCGAGTTCCCTTACCGGAACATTTTTTCGGGGATCGAGGTAGATTCAGGAGGTTTCGTATTTCCTGCCAGTTATACTTCGACCTCCAGCCTCGAACGTTCTCATCAGAAACCATAAGGGTCGGGTTCATTATTTCTTTATTACAAGAGGAACCCCAAGCCTGGGCCCACCGACTACTAGAAAACCGAGACCCTCAGTTGGGTTCAGTAACAGCATTTTTTAAAGCGATGGCGCTCTTATATGACGACCCAGATACGGCCACGACGGCCGAAATGTCCCTACGTACCCTAAGGCAAGGTAATCGGGCAGTGGAGGAATACGCCGCCGAATTCAGGCGTTGGGGTGGTGACACCAAATGGAATGAGGCGGCCCTGTCTCACCAATTTCGCATGGGGTTAACCGAACCACTGAAGGACGAGCTGGCCCGAGTTGACATGCCTGAAACTCTTGAGGGCCTAATAACCTTATCTATCCAGATTGACCGCCGGTTGCGGGAACGTAGGAGGGAAAGGTCCAGCCAAGAGCAGAGATCAGCCAGGCGACTTCCAGTCCAGACCAAGTCTCCACGGGTCAACCGGAACCAGGAATTCACGAATACGTCAAATCT